CAAAGTGAGACAGCCATAAAAAGCTGACACAGGCCTGGCCATATATATAGAAGGGCGAAGCTAGATCTTTGCTAATCTCTATTGTTATCCTCCTTCCGTGTGTAACCACAACCTCAGCCACATCCCATCTCTTTATCCTTCCAGAGCGTAAGCGTCCCTCATCCTAATCCTTACCCTCGTCTCACTGGTTCTGGATTTCCGGCACGTAACATCTGCCGCATGCACCCTTGCAATGACCGCGTCTCGTTTGTCAGAAGGAGTGGCAACGCGTGACCGGGGGAGATGTCATGGCCAGTGTTGATAACCCGATTGTGGTGAGATCGCCAGAGCTCATCTCCCTGGAAGTCCTGCTGCCGACACAGAGAAATCTCTGATCGACGCGGGCAAGATAGACTCTGACCAGCGATCTCACTCGTATTTCAACTTTGCAGTCTCGAGGTTAGCCGAGGCACCACCTTTGCCATTGACGAGAGGTCCGTGCACAGTGGCGCCACCGATGGCGCCTGGCAGGCTGCCTTTTCCCATCTCAACCTCCCTCGCTAACCGAGTGGGACCCGCAGCCCGGACATGACGACGCGCTGGCTGAGGAACAGGCTCGCCAGTAATGATGTTAAGAACCATAGTAATGGAAAAAATAGAAAAAAAATGTTAATGATAATGATAATAATAATTATAATGATGATTGATAATTATGGGCTAAGACACTGTTCATTAGTTCAATGAACATAATTATAATCTCAGCGATGCGACATACTTGCGACCATCTGCCAGATGATGTTCAAGACGGCAACATTGAGCGACTCCGGCGCGTGACAAGGCGTTCCAGCGTAGGAACTGAAGTCCTTGACCAGCGCTCTGGCCTCCACCAGGATGCTCTCCTCCAGGTAGGTCTTTCCCATCCCGAGATCACGAAGGTTGCGCAGCAGGAACCTCCGAGCGTTCTGCCATCGCTTGCCGTTGCTCATTATGACACCTGCATAATGCACATTGCTGTAAGATGTGTACTATCTGATGCAGTAGGCGTGTGTGCGTCTCTCTCTCTCTCTCTCTCTCTCTCTCTCTCTCTCTCTCTCTCTCTCCTCTCTCTCTCTCTCTCTCTCTCTCTCTGTGTGTGTGTGTGTGTGTGTGTGTGTGTGTGTGTGTGTGTGTGTGTGTGTGTACGTACGCAATGTATGTTGCATATATTTTCACAAACATCAAATGTGATACATTAACTGCACATTCCATATACAATACACAGAATGTCTGCTTACCCGCCTCTTGTCCATCAGTTAGAAAATGCAACATTTCTAATTGGGGACGATCAGCAAACTCAGTCTTTGACAACGCTTCCTTGATAAGTTTGTTGCTGCAAAGGAATATAAACTTGTGCGGCCCAATTTCCGACCTGGAAAGTAGATTTTCAGGTATATATAAACATACATACATACATATACATATATGTGTATGTGTGTGTGTGTATTATAAGTTATATATAAGTTTAGCATGTGCTACAGGTTTATATCTTCCATTTTTTTTTTTTTTTTTTTTTTTTTTGATTAATTCATTTATGCATATTCTCAGGTACTAGAGTTCCATAAAGTTCATTGCGACAAATGTAGAAAAAGGTGTAAATGAGAATGAATATCATTGTGAAGATATTCATTCTCATTTTTTTCAACAGAAAAAGTTTCATATGTTGTTCATTTTCTCACTGAGCTCTGAAAGGCTACTTCACAGGACTTCAGAACTTACAGTATACAGACCGAGAATTTAGGTCAGCAAACTTACATTATTTTCACATAACTCCTTACTCCATTGTTTAGATATTCGTATTTCTGCCGGCATTTTAGAGAACGCATGGGCAAAAGAATCTAGTTTGAAAAGTGGAGAGAAAAAATAAACTTACTTAAATATATCACCATATATTTTGTGCATCTTCTGCACTTGGTCGACACTGAAGACAGGCCTGGAGCCAAGGAATGGTACGACCATCGGACCTGAAATGTTTTGTAATTATATTTCAGTAAAGGAAACTATTATTAACTGATGCATTACCATCTTCATGCTCAAACCCTGAACTAAACAGCCTTACCTGGTGGCATTCCCCGAGGTCTGGAAATCCAATAGCGAAGCAGAATCACTCCCACCACGAACAACAGGATCTCTACAATCATGGTGGCGATCTGCAGTGCCTACAATACAAAGTTTTCAAATATATATGTGTGCATAAACACATGTCTGATTAAACTAATCTATACACACAAACACACACGCACGTAGGGATACATGCACGCAAACGCGTACACACACGCAGACATGCACGTCGTATAATGCATGTCTCGGGTTAAAGTCAAAGCTGGTTTAATATTTAAATGGAGGTAGGAAACATGTTTGTGTAGAGAACATGCATCCCAAGCCGCGGGATGAGGCTGTAGAGTGGCCAGTTCCTTTCCGGCCAGACTTTGACTCCGGCATGCCAGTACTCACTCAGCTGAAAGGAGCGTCCGAGCATGAAGCTTGGACTCAGCGATACCAAAGCCAGCACTCTACCACAGTTTATTATAGTCTGCATGTATATATCTATTTCAACGTCTATGATAAGCCCTAAACCAGTGGTTCCCAATTTTTACCAAGGTGGTGCCCCTTTGGCTTCCAGATTCTTAGCGCCCCCCCCCCCCCCCACATACATGTAAACACACCTTTTCTTTATTTTGGTATACTTCAAATTGAAAACGTGATTATACACAAAGGTGTATTGCACAAATACAACCTAATTCAGTAAACCAATGCATTTAGCAGTTTTAGCTGGATTCGTTCGAATTCTATTGCTTTGGTCCGGTTAATTCTGTGGTTCGTTTCCATCGGAAATGGCTAGAAAGTCTTTTTCCATACAAGAATGGCACCACTCTTGATATCATTGAAATTTTCTTTTCCTTTTCCACTATTTTCTATTGTTTTTCTTTGCTTCTAATTTAATCATTACTCGTTTTGAAGCTTGTTTATCGCTCATCAATTTTCGCTTGCATTCGAGTTTGCCGAAAATTGCGCGGCTGCGCAATTATGCCGAAAAAGTATAGAATTTGGAATGTAAGCCCCAGCTCATTCTTTTTCCTTAGGCAGGGGATGGACCCTCAGGCCTAACCTATTATTTTTCCTAGCTAGGGGCTGCGCCTATACAGAAGAGGGGCCTGGTTTAGAGTTGTCGATATCAACGCTGACTTACGGGAGCAGGAGCGACGGCTGGGTGCTCAGAGGAGGGTAAAGGCAAGCAATCTCAATGAGGAAATTGTGAAATCTGTGGTGAAAGTTGTGGATAATTGGACAGCGGGAGAGGCTATTGGTGATAATACTTAGGTCGATTTCCTGGATGTTTAACTCCACTCCTTGACGTCTCTCCACAGCCTCTCTATATTCTCCGTGTGGATATTGCGGTCTCCTGGGTCCGTAAATTCCTTCGAGAGGTTAATCACACGGTGGGCGTAACCCTCCTTGTCGAGCCCAAGACAGGCTCCCCAGCCGTCCCTACCGATGGTGGTTCCCGGAAGAATGTATTTCTTTGTAAGTGGGACCAGAGTTTCCTCATTTCTGTTAGGAGACCGGGAAGGCACAAGAGGAATGAGGAAACACTTTTTCGACTCCCTCACTATGCTTCCAATCACCCAGATGTTCCTGCCCATGCCCACGCTCGTACTTCCGTTTTTCAAAGAAAGACTCTTCAGTCTCGACCACAATGTCCTCTCCCGCCATCGGGTCTTGATGAGAGACAGTTCGCCATTACTTCGGAGCAGAAACTCCTCGAGTCAGTGCTGGTTCGCTCTGCCCACCCGAGATTCTCGAAAACGATTATGGTTCGACCTTTTCTCTAGCCAGTGATTTATAAAACACGAAATCTCGGAGGGAAGGACATTTTTTTTATAATTATTATTTCCTGACAACGGTTGCGGGATCAACTATTCTTAGAGTGCTAGGTAAACTGTACAATTCACAAAGTACTTCAAAGGGCAGCAATCTGTGCTCACGTAATAATTTCCGGCAGCCTTGACGTCTTTAAAAGGCCATGACGAAACTAATTTTTATTATTGAATTTCATAGCTTTTGTTTTAGCTAATTCATCGGCTGTTTCCTCGTGCCTTGTTTCCCCATGGTCTATTAAATTAACCGTCAAACAAATGGCCAATCAAATCGTCGCACTGGACATGACGTCACAAGTAAGTAGTCAGTTCTCCCTCAGCGATCGCGTGAATCTCACATCCGTTGAATATTATTTTAATTAATTTGAAAATTAAATAGCTTCGTTGTTATTTATTTTATTTAATGAAAAGTGATCAATAATTAATATTCTTCAAGACTGATTCTTTGTTAATGTTCTTTTCCAGTAATACCTATCGATCTAACGATCTTTATGTAGATATAAAGTTAGAATCGAATGTTGTTACTGTTAATGTCACTGCATGGTCATTGAGAGCAGTGAAATACGCTATCTGTGAAAGCACGGTAAGCACATTGTAGGGCACTGACATTATATTTAAAGTTCTCTAGTAGAGTTACGGATACTCCCCACGTTTTCTTTGATGATTAATGACGACTGATGCAATCATAAACCGGGTTAACCCAATCGACACGGATGGCAAGGATTACACGCGATGCCCATTGTACACTGTAATATAAATTTACATTTTGTATTTACACAATGATGGCTCTACAAGTACTTAATCACCAAGAAGTTATTAGTCTTACTTGTCTCACCTGTTGACCCTCTTCCTTGACTTTTGGAAAGGGTCTTTTGCATTAGTTCATTGTCTTAAACATCACCAAGATTAAATAACACAATAATAAACATAATATTAATAGCAATAATAATAGTATCGATATCAGTTGTGGGGAAATCAAGTAAGATCGGTCACTAGGGCCTAATGATAGACTCAATGCCGGCTGAGCACATGTGGAGCCATCCATGTAACAAAATTTACCAAAAAACTACAGGAGACATAACATAATAAACTGGTTAGGTTAAAAGT